TAAACATCACATTTTCAAAAGTAAGGTATGATTAAGCGTCTAAAAAAAAGTAAATCTTAAAATTATGCAACACACCCAGGGCAAAGGCATAGGTCATAATTAAGTTAATTTTTACCTTACTTCACAAAGATACTAAAGGTGATAATATAACAAGCCTAATTCCATAATAATAATTCCAAGTCAACAATGCTTCGGGCAGCTCCTAATACAACTTTAAATTATATATGGATTTTTTAATGCAATTTTTAAAAACTTGGATAACTAACCAGACTGATCCACTCAGAAACTACAAATAATCTCTTATAAAAAAAAAAAATTGAAGTAGAAATATTATGTCATTGTAACTTTATTATTTAAAAAACTTCATTAAGTGAAATTTTAACAAATCAGTTCATTTTAACCTATCACTGCTCTAGTTCAATATGCAAACACTGCAGTAGTGCCATTGTAGCAAATATTAACAGTAGTAATTATAAAGTAATAGCAATAAGAAACAACCGAACAGCACAGTTGAGGAATTACTTCCTTTGCAATCCTCATGCAATAAAAACAAAGCATATCTGTGACAGCGGAAAAAAATCCACTGAGATTTATTGTGATGAACCAGATAAAATCTAGACACCAGTATTGCATCATATAGAGAGTGTATTTTTTAACATAGGAAGAGTGCTGTGAACATATGGAAAGTGTTTATTTATTATATGGAGAGTGTCTTGCTATACAGAAGGTCTATTGCAAGCCAACCTGGAATTGCAGCAAACATTACAACAAGTATGAAGCATTAATGACAATTTACCGTTTCCACAGAAACGTAACTGCTCCGTCCTCTTGTGGTCTGAGATTTTGGTAAATTGTTCTTTTCATTTAGAGTATTAGACAAACTTCCTTCTGTAGAAAACAACAGTGCAGGATGTAAAGACTCAGCATTTTGTGACAATGTACAGTGCAATAGTTGTGTGTGTCACAAACAGTAGACTGACCTACCTCGACAAGAACAACAAAACCCAGCAGCTGTCATCGAGTTACGACCATAAAAAATGTCTGTGAAGTTAAACTCTGTCCGTATTATAACCACCACTCTACTGCTTTCAACCCTAAGATTAGTTTTAGTTATAAATAAAGCATTATAAAAGGATTGTTAGGCGAAAACCTCTTCAGGTATGATATTTATTTATAGTAGTAGCCTCTTAAAGCTAACTGTTAGCTCGTTAGCCCCAGCGCTAATAACTTTGCGTCTATTTTAACACCACTCACAACAATGAAAAACACTTGAAATTTATGTCAAACAAAATGTGTTATAAAGCGCTTTTAAACTGTACACAAGCTCGACGAGAGTTATAAAGGTCTAGTGAGGAGTTAAGTTTTATTACTCACTCTCGTCTAACAGCTGCTCGAGCTCCGCCATCTTGAATTAGCCGCGCCGGTTTTTCAAAGGCCGAGTGCCGCGATGCATTGTGGTCTATTTTAACACCACTCACAACAATGAGAAACACTTGAAATTTATGTCAAACAAAATGTGTTATAAAGCGCTTTTAAACTGTACACAAGCTCAACGAGAGTTATAAAGGTCTAGTGAGGAGTTAAGTTTTATTACTCACTCTCGTCTAACAGCTGCTCGAGCTCCGCCATCTTGAATTAGCCGCGCCGGTTTTTCAAAGGCCGAGTGCCGCGATGCATTGTGGGACGGAGAGGGCCGTTCAAACACTCCACAGTCTGCGCTCACAAACCATCAAACTATTTTCGATTTCATGCACAGCCTGGGTATACAAAATAAGAATCTTAAAATACATTAGTACTGGGAAAGGCTTTGTGAAAATTTGCCATAGTTCACTGATTCACAACCAGGGGACTGGGGCCCATTAGGGGGCCTCAGGATGACTTCAATTTTCTTATATTAAAAAAAATCTGACTAAAAACGCAAAATTAAGGCGTAAACTGAGTTTTTATTTTTTTATATTAAAAAAATCCTATTTCATTGCAAAACATTATTACGAACTATTGTTTTATTAAAGAATATACACTTTGCTGGAATAACAAAATAATTGTGGTTAATTCATTTAACATATTTACACTCACATTTTCTGTTAATAAAAATAGTTTGAAAACAAGCAGCTTTATCATAAATACAGCAGAACATACCAGAGGATATATTAAAGCTTATATGATGGCCCTTTGACCATTGTGCCTTCAAATAAAAAAGGTTGAAAACCACTGCCATAGTTAATTTGTTGCAAAATCATAGTAATCAGGTAAAAGTATGAATGCTGTTAGTGTCAGAGAGACACATACACAGTAACAGTAAAACCCAGTGTTATTACTTTTTGTAGTAAATAGTAACTAATTGCTAATAAGATTTCAGTAATAATACTACAGTTCCCATCCATAAAACAGCTCGTTACTTTTGATGCCTCAACCCCTACTGATTTGAAATCCAACAATCCAGTAATTCCTAGATTTATCTTCATAATTTTCACGACTCGCACAGGCACATGAAGTCACCAGTGCAGCAGGCAAACTTGGAATATGGAAAAGCTTACATTCAGGGGATGGAAATAATATTATTTTTGAAAGGAGTAACTAGTAACGAGTAATAAATTACATTTTATGAGTAACGAGCCCAACACCAGTAAAACCATAGTGCACCAACATGGTGCTTTTTTGTTAATCTAGAACTACATTTATAAAAATGTATTATAGTTCCTGCAAGTATAAACATTTTTACTGTGGGACTTCCAACAGGACCATAGCTATAATTAAGTAGATTACTTCATTACTCTAACAGATTTTATGCAAATATCTACCAACATACCATAGCGTATAGTTTTTTGTTTTTTCTCAATTTTTTAATTGATTTTATTTTTTAAGGTAGTAAGCCCATAATACATTTTCATAAAGATTCGGTCAGAACAGATGCTGTAGTACTAAGTACTGAGCAATTTGAATTACAAATGTATTGAAAAATGTTAGTTTGGTACATTTTTGTTAAAATATTAATGGTAATAAACCCTAAAAATATATTTTATTTTCTTATTTCCTCTGGATTGTCTCATACACAAATTATTGGTGAAACTGAACAGAAGCATTTGACAAATAAATAAGCTTCAAAAATAAGCCAAAAACCGTTTTATTTATGAGGCAAAGACATCTGTCAGGACGCCAACAGCTTCTTGTCCACAAAACCGTAGTGGAGCAACGTTTACCAAAAAAACAAAAAAGATTACAGGTGCATGAGTACAGCAGCAGCCACTGCTTTGAGCTTTTCATTGCCATTTTAGTTGGTTTTAATAAGGGACATCAAACTGAAAAACAAAACTGGGAAAGTACAGATTTAACATACAAAACATTTGTCCATACATTGGCAATTCTAGTAAAAGGTTACTCACTTATGGCATGCTATTTGCTAACTTACAACATTTTGTCTAAAACTGTACATGTTCTCTTTTTTATATTGAGAAGACAAACAAAAATGTGTACACTAGATGTGTTACCGTTAACCTGATTCCAGGTTTAGCAAAACTATTTCAACGAAGAAAGTCTATGAATCAAATGGAAGACTGTCTACCTATCATCGTTGGTAGCTCATAAGCAAGATCTCCACAGATAAGTCCAATCATTTCTGCGATTATGTACCTAAGCCTGTGATATTTGCAACAATGCAGTGATACGATTTAGATATAGCCACTTAACTCCAAACTAACAGATTAGAGCAACAGGAAATGTGCTGCCGAAGCGCTAGAAAACTGATTTAATGGTTTGTCAACCCATATGCTGCTTGGTCTTGGTGCTAAAGCTGTAGCAGTGGGCTTCGGTGGCGTCCAAAAGCCTGTCCACCTGGACAGATCTCATCTGCTGTCTCACCAGAGAGAGGTCTGGTAGTTGAAGCGAATCTTCAGCAGGTATTTCAGGTTAACCTGAGCAATATCATACACAATGTACCTGGAGGAAAGTTAGAGTCAAGGGAAACACAGTGAATGTGTAATTGTCTAAATATATTTGAGATGTACATTTACCTAAAACAACAGATAGCCAACAGCAAGAAGGAAAATGAACGATGCAGAAAACGAAAGGATACTCGTTGTACAGCAGACTTGTGTCTTCAGTGTTTGTGTTGATGCCTTTGCCCAGAGGAACATCCACTCCATTCAGAGATACAGTAGCTCTTGGGTCTGGAGCGGTCCTTCCCAAACCTTCATACAGAAAAAAAAAAACATGTTAAAAACATTTCTGTCAGAAACTTATGATTGACTTTTTGAGCTTTGGACATTTTAAACAACAGCTTAACTACAAAAAAAAGGTCTCTTTCTGAATGAAGAGCCATCTTACCTTTTACACTGTGTTTACCCTTTGGTAACTTTGTAACGTGTGAGGCCTTTTTCAGTTCATGTCTTAGAATAGAAGGGAAAAAAATGATCACAATCAGATCTTTGGAGTAGACAATGACAACAACGAATCATAAAAGAGCATTTTGCAAATAAACTTTGCATTTATTTTTTACTAATTTCCAATTATTGACATACACTACTGTTCAAACGTTTGGGGTCAGTAAAAAAAGAAAGAAATTAATACAAATAGAAATAATAGTAACGTAATAATAGAAAATAGTAAAGTAAAAGTAACATTTTAAACATATTAAACTTATTTTGTAACTTGTTACAAAAGCTATGTAAAATAATTGCTGCTCTTTTTAAGAAAAATATAGTGTGGCTTCCACAAAAATATTAAGAACTATTTTCAACATTGATAATAATAAGAAATGTTTCTCGAGCACCAAATCAGCATATTAGAATTATTTCTGAAGGAAATTCTGGAAATTCAGCTTTGCCATCACAGTAATAAATAATATTTTAAAATATAATAAAATAGAAAACAGTTCTTTTAAATTGTAATAATATTTTACAATATTACTGTTTTTAGTGTATCTTTGATTAAACAAATGCAGCTTTGGCGAGCATAAGATACATCTTTTAAAAAAATAAAATCTTACTGACCCCAAACTTTTGTACTCTAGTAGTACATTAACTTGTTAAACTGTAATCATCTTGAAACTAGGACAAAAAGAGCATCTCTTACATGTTTCCGAGGGCAACCTCTCCTAACAGAAGGAGGCCAACAGGGTCAGCCTGGGATGTGTGGCAGTAGTTTGCACTCTTCGACACCATGTCAGCAAAGTAAACACCTTTGCCAAACATGTAACCTGTCTTGTATTACAAATCACCAGAATAGATATGATTAGAGTACAGTCCTATTGTATATGTGTCAAATGTCAATGTAAGGGGTCATGAAATGTGACGTCCGAGGACAAAATGCTTGGCATTGCCATATCTTTAAATAAAACATGTTTTATGACATGTAATTGACAAAACAGTCCATTGTGAAATGTGAAAAACAATCGAAAATTTCGATTTTCTGTTTCTTTCAGTTGCTCAGGCACGTTGTTAAAAATAAACGGGCATTTCAGAAGCGTAGAAAAGAATAATTCATATTTTAAACTAGGGAGGTCTGAAACTTGCAGTATGTTTTGTTTTTACTGTAAAGTAACCTCTTATTTTTGTAAATATCAAGAACATTTTGATTCTCCATTTCATGAGCACTTTAAGATAGAAACTGCTCCAATACAGTTATTAATCAATAAAGGTTTTTGCATGCTCATTTTTTTCCAGAGAGAAGCAGCCAATGGCAATGAAGGTGCAGAAACTTACCACCGGAGCTTCAGGAGGAGCGATACGCAGACCCTGAGACAGGATACCAGCGTAGTTGGTGGTGCGGGAGCCGTGCCACAGCAGCTGCCGGTTTTGTAATTCTTTGAAGGGGCGGAAACGCTGGGACTCACCCTCCCTGTCGATCTTAAAGATCTAACAATACAAAATAGCAGTAGTCAGAGATAATAGCGTGTTATTTTACAGCTACGGCATACTCAGTTCATTTATGAATAGGGTTGCAAAAAGGTGGAAAATTTCCAGTAAATTTCAGAAATATTTCAGAAATTTTGGAAACTTTCCAGGATTTTTTTTGAATATTCCATGGATTTCTGGAAAGTTTCCGGAAATTTTCCACACCTTTGCAACCCTATTTATAAGCCGATAG